CCCCAGATGGCATTTATTTTGTATTGTACGTAGATGTGAATAGAAAAGAAGAATATGGTTGTAGAACTTTAAACAGATGTCTCAGTTTTAGCTGGTTTTATACCTCAGTAATTTATGAAGTTAGTGGAATGTAACTTGTATTAAATAACAGTTTGAATAATATTAAACTCCAGGTCTAATAAATTAAATTGCATGCTCTCTGAAACATTTCCCTATGGTAAATAGAACCAGCTGCAAGCAATGTAGGAACAGAAGATGTGTATTTTTGTAAAAGAGGAAAAGATTTAAGCTTCCAATTTTCTTGTCATTGTAATAGCTCCGTATTTATGGTTTACATATACATAGCAGAAGCTTTATTGAAAATAGGAGGTATAGAAAATAAAACTCAGCATGTATCAAATTATGTTTGGTAGAAATACTAGTTTCCAATATACAGTCTGAGTCAAACTTTAAAGTATCGATTCCAACTGCAATTAGAAACGCAGCACCTTCCTTAGCAACTTCGACCGTTCTTGGACCTGCGTCTCAAAAGCGTATTTCTTATGCTAAATGTTGTTTTTCTGCAGAAATCTCTTGTCGAGGGGAACGAATCCGAGATTACTACCAAAAGCAGCAAGGGTATGCTGCGTGCCAGACGACCAAGAAGGTATCGAGACTAGAATGTAAAGGAGGATGTTCAGCCGGGCAGTGCTGTGGACCCCTAAGGAGCAAGAGACGGAAATACTCTTTTGAATGCACTGACGGGTCATCATTTGTGGATGAGGTTGAAAAAGTGGTGAAGTGTGGCTGTACAAATTGTCCCTCCTAAGTGTCCCTGTCACACTTGTCTTTTGAAAATGTTGTATACTTATTGACCGTGTCGGACTAATTAATGCTTCATAGTGGAAATATTTGAAATATATTGTAAAATACAGAACAGACTTATTTTTATTATGAGAATAAAGACTTTTTCTTCATTTGAAAAAAAGATTCAAGTGCTTGAACTGAGACTTCTCACAACCAAGAGGAGCTTTGAAGAAAAAAATAAAAGACCTGATAACATTGCAGCAGAGATGGGAAAATTTAACTGCTTTTAACATGGATTCTTCTTTATAACATGCTGAAGATACACTGACACTATACACATGTGACTTTCAACTTAACAGCTCAGAGATGAAATATTGACCAGAACATGAGGCTTGGGTTTTTTTCCCTTTCCTATCAGTATATTTTATTGTCTTGACAGACCGCACCAATCACTTACCTATGGATGAGGAAGCATTATGAGTGAAAAGAATCAAATTATACAGAAGTAACAATTGTATGAAATACATTTTCTCTTTTGGAATTATTAAGCATCTTGAGAAGATGGGGTCCCATTTAATGGATGGGAAATGGGAGATACGAGAATATACTATAATCCTGAAATCTCCCGATGATGTATACTTTTATGTCAGCATGTTAGCAAAAGAAGCATAAAAAGTGTTTATCTGCCCTTTTCCAGTATTAATTTTTTTGTAATATAAATGTTTCGGGGATGATAAAAATAGATTATTGATGGATAAATTAGTAATAATATGGATTTCTGTTTCTATGAGTTCTAAACAACTCTATACAGTATTCGGTTTCATTGAGAAATATTTATTGTATCAAAGTACATTGTACTTAACCCTTTTAGACCATCCCTTTTACTGTTTTTCAATGCTTTAATATATATTAATTTATATTTGTCCCAGTATTTTTGTAATTTTTTTATTTTTTTTTAAAAGGACTTAAAAATCAGGATTTTTTGCAATAGAACTAACGTAGCATGTCGTCTTGGGGTAAATGTTTTTGGTCTGGTTTTTTCCTCTCCTTCCCCTTCCCTTTTTCTTTTCCTTAGAATCTGACCACTTGGTGTCACTGAATCTGAAAGTGATGGCAATTTGCAGATTTCACATACAGCAGACATTCAGGACACCTTCCAAGAACCCATAATGTATGACAGGAAAAGTCTTTACACTAGGTGGCAATTGTAGAAAAGCTAATTTTCCCTATATACAGTACTTACAGAAGATAAGATGGCGTGTAGAAAATGACATTAGAAGGTAGATCTTTATAAATTAATATCCCCATGGACCTCTTTACCTTTTTTATAAAAAAAAAAAAGCCTGTGCTATCAAGAACTGTGATTTTCCCCAAATAATAAAACTACTGCCCTAATGTTCCCCATGTTAACATATTGCTGCTAAATTATAATGTAGAATTGGTAATCAATAGAGGGTTGTGTGCTTCTTTCAGTAAAACCCAGGGTACCCTGTAAAAATTCAGATGTTTTTCAATTTTATTTTATTATTTTTTTTACAAAAAAAGTTAGATGTACATGTGTAATGCAGTGTGCTTTGTCTTATTTGGACTGATATCAGTAATGCCTACTGATGTTTGTAAATTAAACAGATATTTACTTCATTAACAGCTTTTATTTGTATTCTTCTGAGAAGTTGAAATTGTCTAACAGCCTTAATTAAACATCTGTAGTTGCAAAGAATATTTGGTAAAAAAAAAAACCAGAATAAAACCCAACCCTACATCTAGCGTATTCATTGTTGAAAAACTGAGGAAGGAATTAACGTGGGATTACTGCACCTACAGGCAGTGACTTCTGAAAGTGTCGGTTCATTACGAGCACAGCTGAACTCACAGCAAAATTAACGAAAGACAAATAAAGTGCACTGCACTAAAAGGCAAATTACGTCTATCCTAATATTTTAATGGTTATACAAATGGCAGTTGTACAGTTTAGTAAGTTATTTGGTTCTTCAGAGGGATTCATTTTCACTAATCTTGGAGTAAGTATTTTAAATTTAAGCAATTGGATGGGATAATACTTAGCCAGGTTTCTCTTCTGTAATACATATTTTTTACAGATAGTTCTGTTCTACTTTATAATTTGTCTATCCAATGAAACAGCCTTTGGCATGAGACCTTTGCAGTTTCTGTGACTTCTAAATAATTTTCTAGAAATAGGGTAGTTTTGAGAAAAAATAAGCTGGTTTTGCATATAGTACTATGCGCACTACTTATATAGCATTCTCAGAGAAACAGTATTATTTTCCTGTCTATGATAAAAAACCTTGTACCAAGCACCTGGAGTTGGACTTTCTGTCCTCTTACTGACAGAGAAGGAGGAAATTTGCACTGGTTTTCAAGCCATGCCAGCAGCTACTGGTGACCCTGAGGCCGTCAAGACAGGGACTTCTTGTGGTCCCTGAGCAGAACCAAACAAAAACTTTAAGAATTAAATAAACTAAAATAAAATACTGAGCAAACAACTTTGGTACCTACATCAAACAGTGACTCTGCTTACCTTAAAAACCCGAGCAGCCCTGTATTCTCACCCCTGAAAATCTTTAAGCATCAACAGGGTCTGTCACTGCATGACAAAAGAGAAATTTCTCAGCAGGATGGGGCTCCCAGACACTCTTCTCCTGTCTAAATCAAGCTTTTTGTAATACTGCTATAACTGGCTGTCTTGTACTTGTATTCCAGAAAAGGGGATCTGAGGGAACCGTAGCTTTAGCCTTCGCCAACACAGTGATGAATTCAGTTCAGTGCAGAACACTCCAGACACCTAAGGTCTTCACTTATGAGTTACACAGCTTTTAACACAGTGCTCGGGGATTAGGTTTCTCTCCCACAGTCTGCTTGCCTGCTGTAGGAATCACTCTCGTAACAGTCTGCTTTTAATGAATAAAATGCATAAACAGCATTGGGCCTGAAGGATACGACTCAGTACAGTAACCAGCTTCCTCACTTTGAGTTAACACTGCATACAATTCAAATTCTTTTTTTCATTAGGAAGCAGATTCCACCATTTTCTGCCAGTATTCTTAAAAGCTATAAAAGAGGAAGCATATGAATACTGCTTAATTTGTACTGGCTCCCACACAGCTTCTACTGTCATCTCACAGATGACAAAAATGTGCATGAGTGTGGAAAAAGGATCATTCTTCTTGAATGAAACAGTAACAGAAGTCATTGCTGGTTTTGTTTAACATTGGAAGACAACTTAGAACAGGACCTGTCATACATGGAACCGGATTCTGCAGCCTGTATTAAAGTTTCTGAGGAAGATACGTGAGCCATAAAAACATTTTTTTAAGCAAAGCAATAGTGGGCTTTGAATAAGCTTTGAGAGATACAGCTTATTTTCTAAGCTCTACTGAAATAACAATTTTGTATTCAGAATACTTTTTATTCCTATATGGGGTACCAAGGAGCTTAATATTACAGGAATCCTTGTAATACAATGATGATCTGTGTAGATGCCTCAGTCTATATGATATTCATAGGATCTTATGAAAGTGTTTGCCTGGAAAGTCCAGAATGCGGAGTTTTTGTAGGCAACAACAAATCTAGCAGACCTGATGACCCACAGTTTCCTTGCAGGGAAAGCAGCAAAGCTTTTAGAGAAAGTGGATGTCACCGTGTTCGTTTTGTTGAGATGAGTGACGATTAAGAGATGAGGGGGAGAGCAGTACATTTTGGAAAGTTGCTACTCGTTGAGAAGAAAATGACCAGAAGTTTTGGAAAAGCATCCAGAAAGTCGGAGGCTGTTTGCATTGAAGCTCTCGGTTTTGGGAGCTTTATCTGCTACTGCTTGAAACTTATGCATTTAAAAGACACCTCTTTACAGTTCTGAAAAATGTACACTTGATCTCTCTGTCTTGGGTTAACCCTATTGTTTGAAGAAAAATTCATCATTTTGAAGAAATTCAAAATCTTCTCTTTTGGTTTCTTTTCTTCTCCATCAGAAGTGAATATTATTCTCACAGTAGCTCGTTAGGCATGCAAGTGTCTGTGCTTCAGCTACCCCACCTTACAGTGGAGAGCCTGGCACATAATTTCACTTTGTGTAAAGTGCGATTCCCCAGCCCAGCCATTCAGGATTCTCGGCTTTTAGGAAAATATTTATACACTAAGCTAGTATCTCCAATCTGTTTAAAGATTCCTGGAGTGGAAATCAGAAAATCATTGGTAGTTGTGACTATGTAGGGGCTGTCAGGAGTAACGTAAAACTGAAGTGTTTGCCTGCATGCCTGGGGAGCCTGGCTCATCCTGGAAAGCCTACTGTTTTATTGTGTTCTTTACGGATTGTGTTCCTGGGAGAGCGGGAAGTTGTTGTGCTCATCCTTTCAGAAATGTCTGAGAGCAGAGGGATTTTGTGTCCTTCTGCAAATAAATGCTCTAGGCTGGAAATCATAGGCCTCTTTGGCCCTCAGCCAGGTTAAACTGTGTATGTATACCTTAACATCAGCCATCATCTTGGACACCAACGGCTTCTGATGTAAAAAAAAAAGTGAATAAATCTTGCTCTCGGTTTAATAAAACACAGATGGGAAAAGCAAACCAAACAGAGAGTTAACAGCTCTATTCACTAGTCTCCTGGGCTCCATGTGATTAAATCAGAGTTGGAGGGTATGTTCCTGCTGCTGCTGTTCTGGCCAGTGTCCGTAGGGGTGATGGCCAGCAAAGGAGAAGTATTCTGTCAGTGCTACATGTCATTTGTCAAGCTGAGATAAAACAGTCATCTCGCTGAACAGCACGACTTCTGGCTATCCACGGTCCCAGCAAATATGCTCCAGCTCTACAGCATGACACCCATGCTGCAGGAATTTTCCTCAGCCATGGGAACAGACTTTAAAACTGCCTCCCAGATCCACAGCTTAATTTCAAAATGTTGATCTTAGTAATGCTTTCTGGTCTTTACAACTCCATCTTTTTATTTCATTCCAGTTGAGAGGTAAACTCCTTTAGTTCTAAACATCGAGCCACGGTACTCTCAGCTGGTGCCGTGTACTACATACAGGAGATTAAGGCTTGATTTTTGTTCTTTTTTTTAGGTATCCGTTAACATTTGTAGATGGATCAGAAGACCTGCCTTAAAGAAGAAGAGTCAGGTTACACGTCCAGCTACAGAAATCAGACATTTTCACGTCCTTTATAATTTGGAAAATGTTACATTATCTCCTGTGGAACAGTCTGATATCCAGATTGATATAAGCTTACATCTTTTATGGATTTATAGATTCAGACCAGGGGAATTGTTATCTGCATATGTCTGCTAGAACTATTCTTCTTATTTTTTTAATTTATTTATTCCTTTTAGGATACTTTCCATATCACAAGAGACAAGTAAAGATAGAATTAATGTGCCTGAGTTGCTTACTCTGTCATTAAAGTTCCTTAAAAAGATCCAGTAGCCTTTTTTCCAGGACATTTCTTTTCTTTCTCATAGTTTTTCACATTCTGGGCTTCAATACGTTGTTTCTGTATGAAACTTTGTCCACTCTGTTTAATTTGCAGGACAGATTTAATCCCTCTAAAGAGAGGGAAAGGATACCTTTTTCTTCCTGCAGTTGTGCCTAAAATCTCTCACAGCACATCTTTAGAAGTATGTTTTCTTTCAGAGTCCTCTGAGACTAGGTTAACTTGAGCTGTTTTTACTGCAAACTTGGGGGTTTTTTTCTTCTGATTAGCTTTATTTATTTAATCACATTTCTGTGTTTCTGCTATGGTAACAGCAATAAGAGCAGTACCAGCTGACCTGTACTTTAGAAGTTGCTTGCTGTTTTGAAATAGCAAGTTTAAAGAGTTTGAAGTTTGCCTGTTCTCTCTTATTTTTTTTTACTTTTTTTTTTTAATTGGATCTGCTTCCCTATCATTTAATCAATTTTTATGCAGTTTTATGATTATTTTGTAGATGACAGGTAAGGACAAGAGTCAATGTCAACAGTAAACAAAATTGACCACAGAAGACACAAAGATCTTCCAAAAATTGTTTCTAAACTCTCTGAAAAATCAAAATTTATTATTCATTAGTTTTCAGCTTCTTTTTTTTGCTGAACAAACAGTTGCATGATTAATGAACAAAGCTATGAAGCAACCTCCAAGTATACCCCTAGAAATAATTAACGCAGTATGTTGAGGGCTAGAGAAGGAAGAAAAAGGAGCCTAACAGTTACCTAATTCTAGTACTCCTTTTGTGGAGCGGAAGGTTTGGGCATGTTTCTGGGTCACAATATCCACAGTGAGACCATGTGGCACTGCATAGGCTCCAGTGCAGAAAAAAAATCACCATTATCCTAAATAAATTAAAAAAAAACCCTCCCCGAACTAATGAGAAACTTTGCAAAGCCGCCTAAAAATGAGCAGCAAAAGGTTCATTAAGGCTTACTCGATCAAAACGGTGCCCATCATCCACTATCACAAGCCACAGACCAGTCTTGGCATTCACCCCTTCCCTCCAGCTTGCCCCACGCTTCCCACCCAGCCGGCTCCAGACTTAGCTGTGCCCACAGCCCTCCCAGATGTGACACTTCTTCCATCCCTTCCCAGTAAGTCACAGCAATCACACTCCTGTATGTGCTTTCCCTGAGATAACTGGAGGCCTCTGGTGGGGGGCAAAA